TATATATATATATATATATATATACAGTTGCAATCAAAATTATTCAACCCCTTGGAGACTGCATTACTTTACAAATACTAGCTTTTCTGAAGATCCAGGTTTTTATAAAAATTGCATCTATAACAGTTTACTGGCATATTAAAAGTGATAATGTCAATATATTGTAAGATTTGCGTTATAGGATTTTTTAATAACATAGCTATGTCTTAATTATTCAACATTGCTGTTTTTAAGTCACTTTTTTTGTATTGTGTGTCTTAAAACACAATTAATCCTTTAGAAACACTATTAAAAAAACTGAATTAGCCTGAGCTCTTAAACATAAACTTAGCCCATGCATGTGCTGCCAAATATGCAAATTCAACAGAGCTCTCTCAAAAGTTATAGAAGAAATAGTTTTATTACATTAGAAAGTCTAGGCTACATGAAGATTTTCAAAACATTAAAAGTTCCTAGAGACACAGCTGGCAGCCTTATTCATCAGCTTACCAGAAAACCTTTGAGTGTGCTGAAGAAAAAGTACAATATCATAATGAATTTGATCAGATCGACTGAGACAAACCTGCAATGTACAGCCAAAGACTTGCAAGATGACCTGATGAAAGGAGGAAAAACATTTCAATGCAGAGTATAAGAAGAACACTAGACAAGTATGGCCTTTGTGTTGGGGCATTTTGCCAAATGCCACTCTTGACCAAGAAGAACATAAAAGGCCGACTTGAACATGTTAAAATTCATTTGGGTAGACCTGTGGAGTTCTGAAAGAATATTTTATGGAGTGATGTGACCAAACTGGAACTTTTGGAACCATGGATCAGCGTTATGTCTGGTGCAAAAAAGGCAAAGCTTATAAACAGAAGAACAGCATCTCCATGGTCAAACTTGGAGGTGGACCAGTCCTGTTATTGGGGTGTTTTACTGTTGCAGGAAGTGGAAATCATGACTGTATGAAGGATATCATGGATTCTTTGAAGTATCAGGCCATTTTGGCAAAAATTGTGATGCCTTTGGTGCAAAGACGGAATGATGATCAATGGACTTTCCTGGAGGATAGCCATCCCAAAGTATACATCCAAATCTACTTATGCTTGGTTCAGGATCAGTCATAGGATGTACTCGAGTGGCCTGTTCAGTCTGTTTAGCATTTATTGGTGGTTTAAAAGAATCAAATATTCTGCACAAAATTTGACTTTTGGGGGTCGAATAATTTTGAACATGAATGTTTAGAGTCAATTAGATTTTTTATCATTATTCACCAATGTTACATTCTCAGAATCATTCAAATGTGTATTAATTAGTTCACTGATGCCTTTGTTGAATAGTTTTCATAAAATTTTGTTCTCTACAACAAAATGGCTTGCAGGTCAAGGGGGTTGAATCATTTTGATTGCAACACAAATATACATAAACATACAGTATATATAGTGTATTATTATACACACACACATACACACACAAGCAGAATGACAGAAACAAAAAATGCAGACATTAGTTAACAATTCCTAATTACAAAATTGAAAGACAGTTATAAGTGTCCCAGAATAATACTGTTTCAGACTATATTACTCCAGGGCTGAAGGTGGCAGTGTTTTAATGGCAAGAAATGAATCAACAATAGAGGTTTACATGGCAAAAAAAATACTTTACCTTTTTGTGGAAGGTAGAAAAACAACCAGAATAAACTTTTGCAAACACAAAAGGGCAAATATCAATCACTGAGAATATAACCAACACATTTGTAGCCTTGAAAACCTAACAGGGACTAAAACATGTTCCACCAAATAAAATAAAAGGCCATGAATGACGAAGAGGCAGCTGTGATTGGACAAAAACTACAGCACCTTTGCCTATGAATTTTTTTACCATCAGTCTTAAACTGAACTTTAGCATGTGTGGGTCGAGTCGATTGACTGCTTCACTGGACTGAACTGGGACATAAATTGGACTCAAAGAGAGAAAGTTCATGACCATCTGTCTATTAAGATGTGACAGCTGACCACACACCCTCAGCCTGAGGCACCTCCACGCCATCTGCCACCACACTGACCCTGCTGAGAGCCACGAGCTATCAGAAACTCCTGAAGGACAAACAGATCACGGGACAGACACAACGACAGCTGCGCAGACAGACAGACAGACAGACAGACAGACATACAGAGAGAAGCATCTAAAGAAAACTCAATTCTGCAAGTTTCATGACAATCAAAACATATTTTACTTTCATTTGCAGTAATGTAGAACAGGAATGTTGGACCAATGTTTCAAGTGGGCGGAGTTTTCAGTAGACAAATGTACTTGAATCACTTGTATATATGAGACCAAAAGATGGTCTACTTGTAGATATATGAATGGGAGAAATTGTAATGCTATATATGGAGGTTGTAGTCCAGCCTTAAAGATAAAAACGTCTACACATCATATGTGCCAGTCTGAAGTACATTGACGTCGTTTTATTAATCATTTGTCATGCTTTTAAATACATTTCAACTCATTTTAATGTGTTGACTAACATACTAAAGCACAGGCGAAGTATTTTTTTTTTACATTTATAGTTAAAGTGTGTGTGTGTCTGTGTGTGTGTGTGTGTGTGTGTGTTTTGTTACATGGAAATGTATTTGTACATGTGTATTGTTAAAATGTTAAAATGCAATAAAAAGAAATAAAAAAACATATAATAAATGTATTCAATTGTAACTTCATTATTAAAAATGTTTAAATGTAATTGTAATAAAAATGTATTAATTAAAATTTTCAAAACACACACACACACACACACACATATATATATATATATATATATATATATAT